TTTGGTTTTCACCCTTTATTAATTCATCATTCTAAATTTATAAAAAAGGACGTTGATCAGCCAAGTTCTCCAGCACATTCTTAATAAAATTCAAATTCAGTAAATTTAAAACAGGAGGGACCAAATATAATTCTCGTCGAACGAATTTATTTATATTGTATGAATAAAAATATTAACAAAAGTTGTAAAAGTATAAAGTAAATGTAATTAAATGGACGTAAAACGTTATTTAGAGATTGAAAAAGGATTATTTACGGTGTAATAATTTCAGTTTCGTGTTAACATAAAAACAAAACGTTCTACGCCGCAGAATATTAATTTCCTATTATTTAAAAAGATAAATCAGTAAAATTCTATTTGTTTTTGCATATTTTAACAAACATTCTGTAAGCAAAGTAAACCAGAAAATGGTCAAAACTTGGATTTGTCCTCTTTGTCGTGATTCTAGCGTTATGAAATCTCTTAGATACCGACTTGTGCAGGAATCTACATACCAAAATTAGGAACCAGCATCTCCTCCCCTCTTGGCAATAACACCTACGTATTTCCGACAGAATTATGGGCCATTAATGTTTGTTGTAGAACACTTATGGAAAATAAAATTAAGGGATAAGTTATTACAATTTTTTCTGATAGTCAGGCTAGTCTTAGGTCATTACAAAAAGATTTACCAACCTCAAAACTGGTGGAGGAAATTATAGATCTTATCAATAGGATCTCTTTCAGGTTTGAGAACAAGGTAACCCTTATTTGGATACCAGCACATAAAGGACACAATGGCAATGAAAAGGCGGATGGCCTAACCAAAGAAGGTTTTAATACTGCGTTTGTCGGGCCACGAACGGTATCACCTCACTCTCTGAGCACAGCGAATAACTGGGGCATGAAACAATGCCTTAGGGAGTGGAATTTATCCCCCGGACACAGACAATCGAAAGAGTTTGTTATGGCGATCAAACCAGCAGAATCGAAATGGCTATTCTCTAACTCAAGGAAGGGAATTAGGAGGCTGATAGGTATTCTGACGGGCCACTGCCCACTAAGAAGACATCTCTCCATAATGGGTATTCTACCAGATCCCTTTTGCCGTTTTTCGAAACAAAAGAAGAAACGGCAAGGTATTACCTCGCAGAGTGTGATAGGTATGCTAGGTCTAGATTTGAAATCTTTGAAGGAGAGGACATCACCAAATCCCTTCCCAAGATTAAATGGTCCAAAATCTTGGGGATTGTGAACAGGTCCAAGAGGTTTATGCAGGACACATGAGCCGACCAAGTCCCGGTCCTTTCCGGGATTGGGTACGAGTCTACACAGGCATTTAACCCCTCGGGTCTTGGTCGCCCACCCAGCATAATATATATATTCGACATTTGAAAAACGGCAAAAAGGAGGGACAACTCAAAAGGTGGGGTTGAGATAGGAAGTTGGTGTCTGAGAGGATCGAGGTCACGATAGCTCAAGTGGTAGAGCAGCGGCGTATCGAGCCGAAGATCGTAGGTTCGAATCCCGTTCGTGCCATTGACTTTTTTATCCTAATTAAAAACCTTAATTAATTGTAATTGTTGATAATCCTCTTTAAAGAAACTGTCAAGTGCATTTCATAACTGTACCAAAAATTAAAATTGGACTATTATTTCCATTAAAAAAAGAGGTTAATTTTTGACAAATAATTTTCCTATTTTGAGAATTTTCTTATAAAAATATTTCATATATTTTGATGGGCCATACATTGTTAACAAGCTAAGTTTTTCTTCTTTAAATGGTATGGTTAAAATTCTTTAAGCCGGTTTTGTAATATAACCGTTCCAATCGGATATTCCGATAACGACTTCCTAAAAATCGGAAAAATTTAGGGGTCAAAAATCAAAAAACTTAAATTCAAACAATAATTTATATTTAGGAGATCTAGAAGTGCTAAACTGAAATGTTATACTAGTTTTAAGAAAAAATATATTTTATGGCCTAGTTTACTTGAAAAAATTGGCTTTTTTTGTTATTTATAAACTTTAATAGCTTTTACTATATTTTTATTGCAATCTACGTAATAAATGCTATAAAATAATATATTTACATAGATGATTTGAGCAAGCAAATAAAAATATTAAAAATCGATAAATATCAACTTTTAAATTTTTGCGTAACCATGGCCTGTACAAAAGAACTGGCGGATACTTCTCCGATATTTTAGTATGCAGAATCACCAAAAAATATTTGGTCCAAATCCAGGAAACATCAAACTGGTCGTCGCTTTGTGAGTAAAAGAATATCACCAAAACTGTTGCTATGAAAACACTGAAGATCTCGTTCCAAACTTGTTTGATAGGGTTTAATTTGGGGTAAACCTATGCTAGCCATTCCTAAATTGAAAACTGTTCCAAGCAGTCAACAATGATCCTAGCTGTGGTCGTTATTAGCGGCATGTAAGGAACAACTTCTTTTGAAAATACATAAAATATATATCGAGTAGCTGTTAGTTCGACCTCGATGACGGAAAAACACCTGCTTAAAAAATAACACCATATTTTCTCCGGACAGAAAATTTAGCGGGGATATATCGTCCTCCTGTTCTTCTCCAAAATAAAATTTCCTTTTATTCCTGTTATGTAGATATACAGTTTGAGTTCAGCATAAAATTCAAAAAAGGAAATAGCAAAATGAAATCTTAACGTACAGTAAAAACAAAGATAGCCAAAATGATTAAATTTTTGAATGAACAAATGTGAATAAACTGATGAGAATCATACTGCAAAAATAAAGTTGATGAGCGAAGTTTTCCTTCAAATTTCTCCAGTTCCTTCTTTTCTTAAGGATGGCCAGAAAATTACACAAAACGTCTCTCCTCCTTATCCGGGAAATACTAAAAAAGCTCCTCTCAGCAGACTTCCACGCGAGCATAGGCCACACGCTCCCCAATCTTTTCCGACTAGAGGGCCGAAGCATTAGCTTGTTATAACTGCACAAAATTGCTTTATTTCATATTTCTATTTTTCCCCTATTCTCCGCAGAAAACATTGTACACAGAAAACAAACGCTTTGAGTGAGTACAAATAAGTTGATTGAGTTCTGTCATTGTATAAATTAATTTTTTTCACATCCTACATGTATTTGTATAATTTAAACAATGTTTATAAAACCCAGGTTCTGAAGATGATCTCGATAAAGATCGAAACGTTGGCACGATAAAGAAAATGTTTTTCTAAAACCTACGTCACACCAGACCGCATCCAACGAATCCAAATACTCTTATGATATATCCCTACGGAGAAAAAAATTAATAAATTTTCCCCAGGGCTCGAAGAAATGAGATATTTTCCTAAATCACCGAACCCTGTCACGTCGTAGCACAACGATGCAAATAATGGTAGTTAATTCCATACGCTTATCGAATGTTTTGAAGGTAATATAAATAACAATAAAATATATAATTAATGGAGCTTCCAACTGAAGATGGCGAAATACCGATATGGGTCTGACACCTCTACAGTGAGCATATGTAACATTAAAAAATCGGCAACTACAAATTTGCATGTTCATCACCCTGCAGCCAACACGGAAAAATCTATCAAAACGAAAATAAAAGTTTCCTAAAAACAACATAATGTTTAATCTAACCTTTTGAGAGATTAACTGAGAGAGTAACTAAATTTGACAATTCACTTCTGTGTTTATGATAATTTTTTCCTTTCTTAAAGTGTTTTATTACTATCTAGGAAAGTGGATATAATCAGAATTCAATTTATACTTAAACAAGGTTACTTGATGTGATGAGAAAGTATTTCTTCTAAAAAAGAGGACTTTCTTGATTCGCATTGTACTTTGTTGGACCGAAAAACGACGTGACTTGCATTAGAAATTCACCAGAATCAATTGGCTGTCGTTAGCTTTAATCGTGTTTGTTACAATATTGTTCTCGAGGGAGCGTTCTTTTTCTAAAGGTTAACTGAAATTTGCAGACCAAATAAGCGCAAGGTTTCTACAGGCCAGATGCGAACTGTTTCTTTTTACTAAATATATAAAAACATTTTGCTTTCACGAAAAGCGAAGATAGGGCGGAAAATGGAATACTTTAATAAAGAAGGCTTATCCGGCGCACCAGAGAAAATATTAAATTAAATGAGGAAATTCGCATTGTCAACAGGTGTGTGTGCTTTCAGATTACAGAGATCAGCGGATTTAGAAATTTCACCGCACCTTGGAAGAACTTCGCCCGCTCATATGCAAAAATGAAAATATAAATGAAACTATATAAACTCATAAAATGCCAATTAATAGTAATAAATGTTTTGTTTTGCAAACACAGCTTTAAATACAATTTATCACATTTCCTCTAAAAAAAAGAATACATAACAATTTGCTGCTGGGGTGGTAATGAAAAAAATCTATATCAATTAAAATTTATTGACTTTTTAATTAAAAAATTGATAGGAATTGATGGTAAAAGAGTCTACTATCAGTAAAAAACAAGCAAAAAAAAAAAAGACATGCATACAATTGTAAGGACTTTCCATACGACAGTTTTGCAGGAAATTTCATGTTTTTACGGCTTAGTGCACCAAATTGCATTTATGCCTAGTTTATTAAATTTTTATACAGAAAAAGATGAAAATACATAATTATATATGCTACCAATATCGATAAAACGAATTGAAAACACGATTATTTTTTATTTGTATTGACATTTAGGAGTGTACCTGTGATATTTCTTCTAAATAAATTCTTCGTACTTCAACTTTTACTTACAACTTATAAGGAGATAAAATAAAAAAGGTTGAAATCAAAAAGTAAAAAATACAACTCTTTTTTCATTAGTTTTAAAATAGGATAGTGGAAATAAACCAAAACCAACTTTTTTCATTAGTTTTAAAATAGGATAGTGGAAATAAACCAAAACCAAATTTGGAGACAACAATAACAGTTTTAATTAAAAAAGAAACAAATAAACCAGTACAAAATAAAGCGAAACCTCAAATAAGAGGTCATCATAAAACATTCTGCATTATATTAAGTACAATTTGTCAGATATTAGTAATTTTTTAGAGTTCCTTCATAACTTGGAGAAGGAAGAGATGATGTCGCATATTTTATCATCAAAACCTGACGTTAAAAGGACGTCCTTGTCATATTCAAACGACCGGTCGGCCGGGATGCCACCCAAGTTGCAAAAGGCAAATTTTGGAGCACGAGAATTCTCTTTTCGAAGATCGTCGACTTTTTTCGTGTAATTTTCGTGGTCGATTTTTGCGCCGATCACGATAAAGAGATCGTTGTCGAGGATCTCGCTCTGCGTCGGGTTGAGATAGAAGCCAATCGCTCGCGTACTGGGACAGGCCTGTAAATACGTATATAGTTAGTTACGACCGACGATTGGAACATGAAGATAAGATGCAAGTGGAAAACACAACTCACCGTAGTATCGGTGCCAATATTGTTTACAAGTTCGTCTAAAGTCGTGCCACGTTGTAAATATTGATGGTTTGTCCCTTTGAATATGACCACCTTGGTGTTTTTTGATGCGTTTGCAAAGTACAAAGCAGTTACGGCAGCCGCCATGTCAGCCTGAACAAACCGCTTATAGCTGCAATAAGACGAGGATAGATCGTGGCAATCGACGATGACAGTAATGTTCTTGGTCGTAGTTCTGACATTTTTCTGTAAAAGAGAAGAGACACAACTGTAGCCACACAAGTATGCGATAGAAAAACAAAAACAAATCAACAAAAAAAAAAGGCATTTACTCACTTTCAACGCTTTTTCCAACTGTTGTTTCAGCGCTTTCAGGATGTCTTCGTTGACCGGCTTGGGCCTGGACAATTGTTTGCAGAACCGCCTAAAAAGTAGAAATGCCAATGAAAACTGTTCGTAGACAAAATGAATACAAATAGTTAAAATTTGTATACTAACTCAGATTTGTTTTTCCATCTCTGATGTTCGATACATGACCTGCTCGGACGTATCTTCGACTGAAGGACTGCACCCAGACTTTCCAAGCGGTCGCACAGATGAGGCACAAAATGAGGGTCCCACGAATATAGGACCGGACACCGAAGAAAACCGCGCTTACGTATAGTTGGGAGTCTAGCGAGCAATTCCACAAGATCCATCTGACTTATAAGGGCTTTCCAAACCTTTCTGTTTTGTAGAAGTGTCCTGTTAGTCGTGTTGATGGTGTGCAAGTAAGCTCCAATCTCTCTGTATACCCAACATTAAAAGTATAATAGAAAAGCAAGTCGGATATATAATATTATTGTTAATAAATATGTGAGTAATACTTACATGACAGCTTTATCCGGATCGGTTTCACTCTTGAAAGCCTCGACACGGTTGAGATGTTCGACGACTTCTTCGGCCTGTTCATCGTTTCCGTACATTTGATTCATTAACTCGGCTCCACCAATCGCGTAAGCGATAGCGGCTGCCCTCAGTGGACATGACGAATTGACCTTAGCCAATCTTATAACGTCTTTGTGGCACCAACCGTAGCAGCTAGGTCTCTCGCTTACCATTTCGACAAGTTCCCAATAATGGCGTTTTAAGTACCATTTTCGAATCAATTTGGCGACGAGTGGGCCAGTACCGATGTCCGGTAAAATTTCATAGGAGAACTTACAGAACATTAAAAATTCTTTGTCTGTTCGTAGGACCGTCAAAGCCAACTCCAACGCATCTTCTTTCCAGCCGGATATTTTGCAACACTCGGAGACAACTAAAGGCACTATAGAGAAGTGTGAAGAGAGCTTTTCATTCTGCACAATCTTGACCCAATCGAAGATCTTCTCTTTATCGACTTNTTTATTTGTGATTGATGATAGGAAAATTCTATTTTAAAGATTTTAAGTGGATTATTGCTGTGTATTGCTTTCCCTTTTTTTTTATTCAAAACTCATGAAAACTCAACTCCTGAAAATGTGTATTTGCTTTATTTGTGAATGATGATAGGAAAATTATATTTTAAAGATTTTAAATGGATTATTGCTGTATATTGCTTTCCCTTTTTTTTATTCAAACCTCATGAAAACTCCTGAAAATGTGTATTTGCTTTAATTTTTGAATGATGATAGGAAAATTATATTTTAAAAATTTCATATGGATTATTGCTGTGTATTGGTTTCCTTTTTTTTAATAGAAACTCATAAAACTCCACAAATCCTGAAAAAGTGTTTTTGTTTATTTGTTGATAATGGGAGGGAAATTCTATTTCAATGATTTTAAATGGATTATTGCTGTGTATTGTTTTCCATTTTTTTAAAATCAAATCTTATGAAAACTCTACAACTCCTGAAAATGTGTATTTGCTATGAACGTGTTTTTTGATAGATTTATGTGTGATGTTATGTTGGGCCATTTATCTTTAATAATTTTCCGTGTTGGGTCTATTGAAGATGATGTGTCTAAAGATGATGTTTATTGAGATGACCTCAATATCCTACATGTATTTGTAAAAATTAAACAATGTATCAAACGACACACAAGGATGACCCATCTACCCAGAAAATAAACACTTTGAGTGAGTACAAATACTTTGATTGAATATAATATTTGTACCATTATATAAAGTCATTTTTTTCTTTACGTCCTACATGTATTTGTAAAATATAACAATGTTTATAAATTCAAGGCACTGAAGATGATCACAATAAAGAGCGGAACGTTGGCAGGATAAAGAAAATGTTTTTCTAAATCTTACGTCACATCAGACCACATCTCATGATCTCCAAAAAATCATTAACTAACGGTCACGAAACACCACAAATTGAAAAATACGGTGAGGGTGGCCAATGGGACCCAATTTACGTGAGGTCTTATAGATAAGTTATGGAGTTTTCATGAGTTTTGATTAAAAAAAGGGAAAGCAATACACAGCAATAATCCATATAAAATCTTTAAAATAGAATTGTACTATCATCAATCACAAATAAAGCAAATATACATTTCCAGGAGTTGTGAAGTTTTCATGAGTTTTGGCAATGAGACACCCTCTTACAAAGATAAAAAAGGGAGTTTTGGCGAAATATTAACTGTACAAGCTGGGATTTTTTTTTCTGTATTTAATAATAATAAAAATACTCAAGATTACAAATACAGGTGTTGGTAATATTAATAAATACAACATTTCTCTAAAATTAATATTTTTTAAAAATATTTCGGAACATTATAGAAAAAACTATAACTTATGTCAGATGTGCAATGGAAAATTCTTAGAATTATGAATTTTAGTTGTAAAATGCAATAGTTTTCTAATTGCTACTCGGCTTGAGTTTTGAAATGGTATTATGAGAATAAGATATGAAAATGGTATAAATTCAGGTATTATTTAGAAACAATAAAAATAATCTATTACATAACGCTTTATGAATCTAAATTCTAACAAGGCCACGACGGATATAACGAAAATTTTGTGATAAAATTAATATTAATCACCAATCATGCAAAATTAATATAAATATTAATGTATATTGTACAATTAACAAAAAAAAAAGTTAATCTACGTCATTTTTTCACTATTATACATTAGAATCTGTAGTAGAGGCCATGTTGCTTTGTTCTTTTATAAAATGGGTCGAGTGAAAGGGTAGCCAGGTAGGAAACCTGAGAGAACGTCACGCCACGCCTTCCTCTATTCACGGCCTGGTATTAAAAGGGGCGTTTTCTTTTATGTTCCACCATTTGATTGTCAATCGTTGTACATTTGACATCGTCAACTACTTCTTAGAAGAGCAGTTTCTCCGCTTCGAAATCAACATGTCAGAGTAAGTAAAGCGTTTCTTTCCTCAATTCCCAAATTTTATCAAGTGCCCCTCATAAATTAACCGTATATTCGAGCCTATACTGGCTATATTAATATAAATTTACCTATGCGTACTTTATATATCGATTCAAACAATGTTGCTCTGAAATTTCAGATTGATCGCTGAGTCCAAATTGAAGAGATTTCTTCTGTATGGTAGCGAGGAGATGGTATATTTCCCGGGTTGCAGAGTCCAATACGGTTATTATCTGGGTAGTAACCTAGCTTCATTAAGAACCCTGCTGAATCAAGTCGATAAAGAGAAGATCTTCGATTGGGTCAAGATTGTGCAGAATGAAAAGCTCTCTTCACACTTCTCTATAGTGCCTTTAGTTGTCTCCGAGTGTTGCAAAATATCCGGCTGGAAAGAAGATGCGTTGGAGTTGGCTTTGACGGTCCTACGAACAGACAAAGAATTTTTAATGTTCTGTAAGTTCTCCTATGAAATTTTACCGGACATCGGTACTGGCCCACTCGTCGCCAAATTGATTCGAAAATGGTACTTAAAACGCCATTATTGGGAACTGGTCGAAATGGTAAGCGAGAGACCTAGCTGCTACGGTTGGTGCCACAAAGACGTTATAAGATTGGCTAAGGTCAATTCTTCATGTCCACTGAGGGCAGCCGCTATCGCTTACGCGATTGGTGGAGCCGAGTTAATGAATCAAATGTACGGAAACGATGAACAGGCCGAAGAAGTCGTCGAACATCTCAACCGTGTCGAGGCTTTCAAGAGTGAAACCGATCCGGATAAAGCTGTCATGTAAGTATTACTCACATATTTATTAACAATAATATTATATATCCGACTTGCTTTTCTATTATACTTTTAATGTTGGGTATACAGAGAGATTGGAGCTTACTTGCACACCATCAACACGACTAACATGACACTTCTACAAAACAGAAAGGTTTGGAAAGCCCTTATAAGTCAGATGGATCTTGTGGAATTGCTCGCTAGACTCCCAACTATACGTAAGCGCGGTTTTCTCCGGTGCCCGGTCCTATATTCGTGGGACCCTCATTTTGTCCCTCATCTGTGCGACCGCTTGGAAAGTCTGGGTGCAGTCCTCCAGTCGAAGATACGTCCGAGCAGGTCGTGTATCGAACATCAGAGATGGAAAAACAAATCTGAGTTAGTATACAAATTTTAACTATTTGTATTCATTTTGTCTTCAACAGTTTTCATTGGCATTTCTACTTTTTAGGCGGTTCTGCAAACAATTGTCCAGGCCCAAGCCGGTCAACGAAGACATCCTGAAAGCGCTGAAACAACAGTTGGAAAAAGCGTTGAAAGTGAGTAAATGCCTTTTTTTTTTGTTGATTTGTTTTTGTTTTTTTATCGCATACTTGTGTGGCTACAGTTGTGTCTCTTCTCTTTTACAGAAAAATGTCAGAACTATGACCAAGAACATTACTGTCATCGTCGATTGCCACGATCTATCCTCGTCTTATTGCAGCTATAAGCGGTTTGTTCAGGCTGACATGGCGGCTGCCGTAACTGCTTTGTACTTTGCAAACGCATCAAAAAACACCAAGGTGGTCATATTCAAAGGGACAAACCATCAATATTTACAACGTGGCACGACTTTAGACGAACTTGTAAACAGTATTGGCACCGATACTACGGTGAGTTGTGTTTTCCATTTGCATCTTATCTTCATGTTCCAATCGTCGGTCGTAACTAACTATATACGTATTTACAGGCCTGTCCCAGTACGCGAGCGATTGGCTTCTATCTCAACCCGACGCAGAGCGAGATCCTCGACAACGATCTCTTTATCGTGATCGGCGCAAAAATCGACCACGAAGATTACACGAAAAAAGTCGACGATCTTCGAAAAGAGAATTCTCGTGGTCCAAAATTTGCCTTTTGCAACTTGGGTGGCATCCCGGCCGACCGGTCGTTTGAATATGACAAGGACGTCCTTTTAACGTCAGGTTTTGATGATAAAATATGCGACATCATCTCTTCCTTCTCCAAGTTATGAAGGAACTCTAAAAAATTACTAATATCTGACAACTTGTACTTAATATAATGCAGAATGTTTTATGATGACCTCTTATTTGAGGTTTCGCTTTATTTTGTACTGGTTTATTTGTTTCTTTTTTAATTAAAACTGTTATTGTTGTCTCCAAATTTGGTTTTGGTTTATTTCCACTATCCTATTTTAAAACTAATGAAAAAAGAATTGTATTTTTTACCTTTCGATTTCAATCTTTTTTATTTTATCACCCTTTAAGTTGTAAGTAAAAGTTGAAATACGAAGAATTTATTTAGAAGAAATATCGCAGGTTCACCCCTAAATGTCAATACAATTAAGAAATAATCGTGTTCTCAATTCGTTTTATCGATACTGGTATAATTATGTATTTTCATCTTTTTGTGTATAAAAATTTAATAAACTAGGCATAAATGCAATTTGGTGCACTAAGCCGTAAAAACATGAAATTTCATGCAAAACAGTCATATCGAAATTCTTTTTTTACGATTCGATGTCTATCTTGCTTTTTCTTTTACGTTCTTTTACCTTTGGTAGACTTTTTTAACTTAATTTGCTATCAATTTTTTACTTTAAAAAGTCAATAAAGTTTAATTAATATTGATTATTTTCATTACAACCCAAGCAGCAAATTTTTATATATTAGGTTTTTTTATAGGAAATGTGGTGAATTGTATTTAAAACTGAGTTGGCTTAATAAAATATTTGCCTGCATTAATTGGCATTTAATGACTTTAAATAGTTCCATTTACATTTTCTTTTTTGACGCGAATGCCGGTTTCTCACCCAGTCGGAAAACGAATTTTCTTTTGGTAAACCGAAAACGCTAGATTGTGGAGCCTCCAGTTTTAAAGCGTGAAGTAGTTCAGTTCAATTTGTTCTAAGTCCCGAAAGTCGCTCGTTTTCTGGGGCCGGCTGACCCGATTTCATCCTGTTTCTCTGCGCCGACGTGGCCGCCCGCTTGGGGGCTCATCTTCCCTTCAGTCCGTCCCCGAGAGCCGCTCCGTCGAGCAGCAGTGCGCGCCTGGCGGAACCGGCATCTTTCCTCCGAACACGCAAAAAGGATTTCCCGAAGAAATTTTCCACTTCCTTCGAAAAAGGTTTTTATTTTATTATTTTACCTCTCTTTATTCTCACGGATCGAAATTGAAGCCGTTCCAACATTTCATATATGAAAATATTTCGTTTAAAATGATATATCCTTCTTTACTCAATGTTTATACTACCACGCTACAAATCTACATTATACCTTCGTCAAAAACACTAAAATAAATTCAATTAGTATAGAAATATTAATAATCAATAATAGTATGATTTTAAATTCAAACATACACACAAAATAACGTGCCTAGCGGTTAAAAATTGTATAACATACAAGTCAAATTGTAATTGCTAATAAATATAGTTCATTTTTATACCTCACAAAGAAATTACAATCCTATGATCTATTCTGATAAAAAATAATAATTTTCTTTTGGTTTATTTTATTCACCTCAACTAGTTTATATTTTAGCATGCTTTCCTTATATTAAAAAACAGCTAAAACATTTAAGAAAACTATATTTTTTGAAACATGGCATTTTCAGATTATAATATTTACGAGGATGTTTCTATTAGAGTCAAAATGACATAACACCTAATTTTCTTTCAAACTTCCTATACAGTTAATAGCAAAAGTAGAATGTATTCTTTTTATAATATTAGACCTGTAATGCAGTTTTCTTGAAGAACAAAACTGTTAACAAAGGTTAAGTAACGTGTAAATTGAGTATGAACGTACACATACATAGTAGCAAAACACGATAAAAAATAGAACAAACTGTAAAACAAATAAAATTTCTCATCACATAATTATATTTTCACAAAGTTCTTGTAATATTATGTAAGTCTATATAACAATTATGGTAATATAATTAATAGTATGATAATACTAATTTCATTTCACAAATGTTATATCGCATCAAAAAACGCTTGCTCATTTCATTAAATTTCGTAAATACAAATTTATTCTCTAGATATATAGATAATAGATAACCTTTATAAGGAGGAGCTAGGTTGTAGGGTCGTCGGAACACCGAAAGTTTGTCTGTGATGCTTGGTGGAAAATATTAGTCACGTGTATAAGTGTTCCTGCCAAGTGGACTGGGACATTTTTGTTTAAGTAATATAAATAATTTTGTAATAAGGTTATTTACTTAGTAATGTAAAGAGATCAGGGATGAAGCCATGCAGGTGAAAGAAGCAACTTGTTTTTCTGCTGTCGTGCTTTTGGCTGTATTTGACGTCTTATTCATGACTTTATTTAATTACAATCAACGATTCATTACAGATTACATACATAAAAATTATAATGATAATTCAACAACTTTCTTGAAAAATTATATCTATTATCCAGCCCTTTCTATTAGGACCACCTGTCCGGACAGATTGTAAAGTTTATTTTTAAATAGTTTTTCAAGAAAGTTGTTGAATCATCATTATAATTTTTATATATGTAATCTGTAATGAAGCATTTATTGTAATTAAATAGAGTCCTGAGGAAGCCGTCAAATACAGCCGAAAGCTCGACAGCAGAAAAACAAGTTGGTTCTTTCACCTGCATGGCTTCATCCCTGATCTCTTTACTTTACTATTTATCATGAAGGCCGATACCATATTCAACGTTATTTACGTATGTAAAAAATACAATTTAGGATTGTTTTAAATGACATTTATTATATTAAAAGTTACAAAAGTTAATAGAGGCTGGCAATAAACTAAACCGAAAAATTTCTATTTAAAAAACATGGGATCGTTTTAAACGATATTTCAAATCGCTAAATACAAATTTTCATAGTACTACCAAAATAGACATTCAAGAATGTCACAAACAAAAGTGTATTTTTGACATATTTATTGGAAGCGCCTTAAGCCGGGAACACACGTACCCGATGGAACGCCATGCGATGCTGCCCGATGCTACCCTACGCAAATCCAAAGTCCAATTTTCCATAAGATTTTATAATCCCCATGCACATCTGCCCGATGCCACGCAACGCTACCCTACTTTACACTACGCGATCCCCACTGTCCACATTTTCGTCGGGTAGCATCGAGTACAGTCAAAGACAAAAGAACCGGACACTCATATTTTTATTTCAAACTATATATATAATTGTCGTAATATTAATTACAACATACTTATTTTAATATAAACCATATTAAAAGAGATCAAAAATTCATGAGTATTTATAAAAATTATTTCATTATGATGGTTAGGCAGAATATTTATCGAAATAAGTTATTATAACTCCGGAATAACTTTATTTAAAACAATTCAATTTAACAAACAATTTATTACATGGATATGCTCATAAAATTTAACTAACAATTTATAACATGGTTTTGCTCAATAATGCATTAAGAACAAAAGAGGCGTTGGGATTGTGATACTGATTTGTGACATGCGTTGTATGACTGTACGTGGCGTTCGCTTGGCGTCATAGACATCATAGATGTACACACCCTACCAAAACGTGGCAAGGCGTCGGGTAACGTCGCATGGCGTTGCATAGGGTAAGTTTGTTCCGGCTTTAGGCACCACGGTAGCCGGTTGGTTAGGGCGACTCGTATTGCCACGTTAGCGGTTTTGGATTCGAAGCCCGGCACCTTCCCATGACTTTTAATTGAGAATAATATGAAAGAAATATTTTTAAGTGATTTGATCCTCCGTCCGAGACACCCAGCGGGTTGTTGGAAGTTTCCTTCTTCTTTTGGTTTTTGTATCTTTTATGTATACACATACAACAATTAATTCAATCCTGCATATATTTTCTAATTGTCAGTAAAAAAATTGACTTATACAATGTACTTTTTCGAACTACCATCACCAATAAATTAATTGAAATCAGCGATCCCTAGTTCAGAGCATCCCTTTGAATTTTAATAAGCTGAAACTATATTATGAAAAAATAGCAGGATTGAGTATAAAAATATATATACATAAACACAAAACAAAAAATGGCCAAAAACAAACTGTATAACATATATTATGATTAATTGCCGCCAAATTGATTAATTAAACAAGTAATTAGGGAGCGCGGTGGCTGCAACGGTTTAGGCGTTGACACTGTGGTCATCACTGTAAGGTAATGACCCCGCGTTTCAATCCAACAGTCCTGTATTGGAACCCGACATAAGTACAATTTTTTTTCCAAAAACCCCGGGACCCCGAGAGTTCATATAAGGGTTGAAATACTTTTTTAAAAAACACGAATGCTGAAACTAAAACATCAATGGATCCTATGCGATCGACCGATGTTCGATACTGATATTTCCGTTGAATTTGGGTTGTGGTCAAATGGACAAATACTAGTGTTGTATCAACGCCAAGCGTTCGACAATTTTTATTGTCTTCCTCAGGGCATTGCAGAGATAGATGGCAATTAATAAAATAACACATTTTTTTGTTTCTTTTTGGCTCCTCACAGATAATCAGTCAATATGTAAACAAATGATTATACATCATGTCACTCATTTTTACAACCTCTTCTTCACTTCTTCACACACTTCTTTTAAGATATATGTACATAAATAAAAAAATAAATATAAAACTTTTACAGGTACATATATCCCAGGCGACCTGTATTTTTTTCAGAGGTCATGATTTTCACTTTATCAAATTCGAAACCTTGACATTTAGTATTTTCATGTTTCGATAACTCAGTCCTAGGTCTTTCTTCATCATTGGAATCATATTTATATTGAAGCACTTGTTCAGGCATGTATTGTTTGGTTTGACCATAGTATAGTACAGGACAATTTTCACATTTAACGCAATACGCAATATTTGATTTTTGTAAAGGAGGTTCTTTACATTTCAGTTTGGCATAGAAGGTTTTTCCTAACTTATTATTGTACTTTTTTTTTTTTTTTTTTTTTTTTTAACTTTCCTTTAAGGAAAGCTAACTTATGGCCTTACGTTAATCATATTAGCCAATGATTGTAATTATGGATACTTTTAT